ACTCGAGTCCACCTGCCAGCCCTTCAGCACAACGACTAGAACGATGCCTGAGTGCCGGCCTGCCGCCTTCCTCTTCCTCAACTTCCCTCACCAGCGGGTTCCCTAGTTCCAGCTCCACCTCGAGCTCTGGCTTGCTGAGCGCCAACCCAATTCTTTCCAGAAAGTCTTCAGCTCTCAAAGAGACGAGCAGAATACCAGTATGGAACAAGTCGTTACATCGACCAGGACTTGCACCTCTGGTCAAAGTGAACGGAGATGAGCCAAAGGAGACTCTAAGTGCTGGTGTCGTTCCCTCGGCACGTATGGCGACGTTGAACCCAAGACGTGCAGTCAGTGCGTTTATTCAACACGACCCAGTCCAATTAGCACCTCTCTCCAACGCTGGTTCTTCTACGAAACCCGTCAGTTCACGGCCTGTCGGTGGTCTCGCCAAGGGCCGCGTTGTATCGATGCTGGTAACAAAGAGCACCTTTGGCGATGAGGAAGCAGCGAGCTCGGATAATGACGTCACCTTTGATAGTCCCAGCGCTCCCAGAGCTGTCGGTGCACACCGCCGCATGAAGAGTAACGGGACAGTTGGTATTGGAAGGGGACCAAAGAGTGCGTTCCCAACGGGTAGCATGAGAATGCGCTCCCCAACTCAGCACTATCAGAAATCGGCTACAGCCTTCCAACCTATGCAGGCTGTAACAGATCCGAGCCCCTTCAAGCCTTTGCTACCATTTGGCGACGCTGAGCATTTTGGCAAGATATTGCCTTGTCATAGCGTGAAGCAAGACGGTTTGATGCGCATTACTCCTGATACAATGCGTTCACTATTATCTGGAGTTTACGACTCTCAAATGGCCTCGTACCGAATTATTGACTGCCGATTCGGATTCGAATTCGAAGGTGGCCATATTGCTGGGGCTGTAAACCTCAACAACAATGACGCTCTTGAAAAATTCTTCTTTGAAGATGCGATCAAGAATGGAACATTGCCAACTCCAAGTCAAAGTGGTACTCCTGGTCTTAAGCAGACTGTCATTATTTTCCACTGCGAGTTCTCTGCAAAGAGAGGACCTACCTTGTGAGCATTGCTTCGCATCATACTAACCTTTGCAATACTCATGATTCCCAATAGTGCCAAGCATTTCCGGGCTAAAGATAGACAGAGAAATGTCCAGGAATATCCCAAGCTACATTACCCAGAAGTTTACATTTTAGAAGGTGGATACTGCTCGTACTTCGGCGCTTATCCTGTAGGTCACAATCAATCGTCATGATTATCATTTGCTAATAAAATATCCAGGAAACATGCGACCCCTGTGGATATGTACAAATGGATGCACCCCAACACAGTCACGCTAGAGCAGCTGAGATTGGACAGTTCCGGAAATGGAACCGAACCCAAAGTTATACCTATGGTGAATCAAACCTGTCGAATCAAGCTGGGAATGGGCAGTCTATACAGGCACCTCCGGCTCTCGAATACAGACGCACGGTGGCACCTCCTGGCAGTGGTCCCATCCCTAGGATGGGTCCTCTTCTCAATCATAGACGAGTCGAAAGCTTCCATGAACTCCAGACCCTCGAAGAGGATCATCAAGGACATGATGATCAAGAGACGCAGGAGGACCTACCGGACGAACAGTCCGAAGGAGAGGAAACTGCCGGAGAGAATGACTATGACGATGATGACCAACAAACTGTCGACTCTGACCTTCATGACAGAGTGCACGATATCTCCTTTGACGACGAGTCTCAAGGCTTCGGTTCGGCAAACAGCCCTTTCACCCAAGATCCAGCTGTCTCTCAAGGAGAGGAAGTCGTGGAGGAGGATGATGAGGATGATGATCTGGGCAATGTCGCCTCTAGTCCCTGTGCCGCCGCAGAGATGAAACGTGCCAAGAACCGCGGGAGGCAATTGTTGGAGAAGACATTCAGGCCTTTCTCACTGTTCCCTTCTGGGCGTCTCGGCTTGAACAAGGCCGGATCTCATGCCTCCTAAAATGGGAAAGCATCTTTGCATTGCTCATCTTAACCATCACGCGACTTGTCTATTTGTGGTCAATCAGATGCATCGGCACGATAACTTATTTGAACCCTGTCGACGGATTTCTCGCCCTCTCTCTTTCCTAAAGGACGACATTCTCGATAGCCTGCATCATACAAGACCGAACACTCGGAATCAATATACCACTTTATGCCGAGAGACAGTACCGCCATGAACACCCACGAAACCCGATTCTGCTAGCATAATTATGAAGAGTTCGAATTCGCCCTCCAGTTGCCCTACATGTATTCACAACACTTCACATGAATCAACCAACAACGACCATTTCTCGAGTTTGTCCACAATTTGATCGTATAAAGGACTTTTTGCTTGTCGCCATCGAATGTCAGCGTATCGTTGGAACATTGATCTTCAGTCTGGACCGAATATCTGTAGTTTACCCATATTTCCTTGTAATTTACCAATAAACTTTCTCAATTCTCGGAACTGCATTTTTGTTATTAACCAAATCTACTGTTTTCACATATATTTCCAAGTGAATGAGTAAGAAAATGGTTGCGAGTTGACGTCGTCCGGTCTTAAAGGATTGGAAGCATCAAGGTGTAAAATTAAAATAATATTAGTCCGTGTAGCATAAACAACATGCGAGACAAACAGTCCGTCTAATGAGCTAAGACAATGGTACCATGACAAGCTCGGAAGGTTTTTGTGCTTATGCAAGGACGATGCCAAAGACGGCAGCGGCAATGCTGGCAAGAACGCCGAAAGGAGCAACAGCGGCGTTGGAAAGTGCAGCTCCAGTGCTAGAGGTGGAGTGAGTAGCACTGCTCGAAGGGCTTCCGGTTCCGGTGGAAGATCCGCTGCTAGCAGCTGGCAAGGTTGCAGTGTTGACAGCAGAGGTTGAGGTGGCAGCAGTGGCAGTTCCACGAGTGCAAGTGAAGTACCATCCCTGGGGAAAGAGTTAGTGCCTGAGCAGTAATGGATGGGATTAAGAACATACAGCAACAACAGGTCCGAGTCCGCTTCCCTAAAGAAAGAGTTAGTATGATTCTGTAATTTATATACTATGTTTGAACTTACGCTAACGTAAGCGTTGAGGTCGAATTGAGTGATGGGTTGGTTGGGCTCGGACAAATCAGCGGGGGGAGTGAAGGAAGCGGGTTGTTGCCAGAGGATGATGGCATAACGGTGTGGTGGGTCATTCTCTGGTGGATAAGGAGCTAAAAGAGTTGGAATTCAGCCGCATAGTTCTTGGTACGAAGAGAATGGTTCGACTTACCTCCATAAGCCGTGATGGCAGTCGCGGGGACAGTCAAGGCACCATTCGAGCCGATGGTGACACCATTGACGAGCCAGTGGCGAGTTGGTCCAGTTTCAGAGACGACGCCAACCGCTCCTGGGTCAACCATGGCGAGGGTGAATGTCTCACCAAGTTGAACCGACGAGTTGGCGGGCGTGACAGTGATCGTGGGTGCAGCCTGGACAGCTAAAATCAACTTTGTCAGGACACTGATTTTACATCTGATTTTGTCTAGAATATTCGAGGAGGTGCGGAGACAAGCGCCAGAAGACGGCTAGGCGACGTACGCCAAGACCATACGGAAACCGGGAGGTCGAAGGGAGTTTGAGATGAGGACATACCGTCAAGGCCTAGCGGAGAACCAGCAGCGACAGAGCTACCACCATAGCTTACAGTGAGGTAAGCAGTGGGGTCAAAGCTCGCAAGGAGATCGGGAACAAGGTACGCGTTGTCGAACTGAGCGTCGATGGACTGTACTTCGAGCTGGGCGTTCTGTGCACTGACGAGAAGCGAAGAAGAGAGAAGAACGACGAGACTGGTGGCAAGCATGCTTATTTTACTGATTAATCTGTAAAAAGTGGATGAAGTGGGCAAAAGGGTAGAGAGCGACGGGGCCAAAAAGCTGTTGGGTCTTTTATGGCAGGTGGCTGTGACACATCCGCTCTGAAGCCAGCCTTTGCTTTGTTGGACAGCTAGGCAATGTTTTGCGAGGTTCCTCCTAAATCCGTCGTAGTTGGACTGCAATCCATTATTTTAGGAGGGTTTGCTCTTAATTTACTGGGCAGAAATGCTAGTGGAGCGAGTTTGACGATCCAGTGTTCGTATTTCCTTGTTTCGCTCCATGATTGACCCGTAAATCTGGCTCTTCCAGGAAGAATCGGTTTTCAATACAGAAGAGACTATATTCGGGACATGCAGAGGTCGACACTAAGTACTTACGGGCGTCAACCAAGACTTGTCGCTTTCGACACCAGAATACCTCTATCAAAGGAACACTTGAAAGAGCATATCTCCCAAGAACAAAATATTCTGAAACCTTCAATCGGTCAATATGGTGGAGCAAGCCCATGTGCCACACGCTAAGCGTGGCATCTAACCTTGATGACCGGCTGTCTGAGGATTTATCGCTTCAATCGACCATGAAGCAAACCGAAAACATCTACAAATGTCTACTCGTTCCACGTATATTGACTATGATATCGTTCCAAACCCCATAGTCATGATATGAACGGTGATACTAGTCATCTTCTCCACCCGGAGAAAGGACGATCACTGGTTGCGGAAAACGCGATATATTCCGCGTTCCTCGATTTCATGTTGGCGCCTACATTTAGGAATCAAATCCATATGGAGTCAACGGGGTGGCCGGTGCTCCGGCTCCTTACGCAGTCGACATGGCAGCACGGCCTGTTCACCTATCTCTGGTTTAGCTGTAGGCGCTGCTTCGCGTGACTTCTCACAATCCGGTACATAAACCCAAAGCCTTTTCTTGATCTATCACTAACGAGTGGACCCGCCCATATCCCCAGGTATCAGCAATGCCGTCTTTTCTGGCGCGCCTCTTGCATTCCTTTCTTGGAGACTGGGCGACGAAAGATAGAAAGGCATCTAATGCGACAGCTTATCCAGTCAGATACCGGATAGCATGTGATGCAATCGACTGGGCTTTTGATGGCGGAAGACCTCCTTTTACTGCTTGGGCAGCACACGGCTCACAAGCACACAACCTTACTGACCCCAACACACTCGTTACTTTGTTCAAAACATCGAAGCGTACATATCGCTATATTATGCCGCCCGATCTTGGTTCGTTGCCACATCTTTGAAAGTCACACCATGTTTCTGATGACGACGTGATTTATTATTATGGTGACTCAAATAGCGAATTATACAGGGGAACTCTACCTCGAGGCTCGAGGCAGCCCCTTTATTGGCATTGCTTGTTGGTACCTCAATCACTGTAAACTAAACACGCTCACCTGAACTTATGTCTGCGATAGGGACAAGGGCCAATCCTAGACCTATGGATCAATGTGATGATCCAGGGCTATTTCAAACCATGAGCGTAGAAGATGTTTCTGTCAGTCACACACTCCTTCCTCCAGAGACTACTATACTCAAACAAACCTTAGACCCAAACCAGAACCTATACAAGTAAAGAGAGCACTGTTACCTCTGTGAATACTGTCATCTTTACCGAGACGAATCAGACTGCACGGCCTATAGAGTTACCTCCTCCTCCCTTTACCTCCCTACCAGAAGCACCTACACCCACGATTCGACCCCCTCTTGCCCCAGATGACTCACCATACACAAATCCAACTCGACCGACTGGAACGCAGTCCCTTCAAGCACAACCAACTCCTAATCCACAGGCCGGGGCTCAAGAAAACTCACCATCTGGCATAAATACGGAAGTTGGATCTAATATGTCGACATTATCGACACGTTATATCGATGGCTCTGGAACAATACAAGGCTCAGGCAGCTCTGAAAGCCCCTCGGTTAACAATCTCCCTTACGTGTACGTCCTCAGTCATTCTCTTTATCCAGTGCCCCTAATCTCTTTGTCTTATAGAAACGGGTCGAGAAAAAATGACAACAAAACCGCCTTTCAAATATCCACTCCTGCTGGAGTGATTATTGGCATCACAGCCGGGCTGGTGATAGCAGGACTTCTCGCTTTTTCTGTGTACCGATATCGAAGCTCTAGACGACGGGCAGGTTTTTCATCTCAAGAAAAACTTATTTCAAGTCCGTGACGTTATGATCAGCCATAGGCAACAATGCCATCAAGATAGGGTCATACCTACAATGGCATCGCACTCTGAAACGATCCACTGACGACTTATTGTATTTTATCCCATATCGGTATTCATAATCGCCCAAGAGGCACTGTACAAATAACCAACTCAAGAATCTCCCGACGGCCATGTCTGCGTTGATTCATTCCATAGTCGGTCCTCCAAACTCAACATTCATATGTATATATACATCAACATTTATCACACCAACGATGCAAAGAATGCCCACAGAAAGTCAATTCACCTAGACTAGCTATATTCCTAACGCTTAGTCTCGGATCGCCCTTCCAAGCGAGTAAATTGTGTTTTTCAGCAGTTACAAGTTTCATCAGTACGTTGGCTTAGCGATATTATGTGATTACACTCTACCGCGCCTTAAGCGAGTAGCATGAACCCGACAAACTGCTAAAGGCGCACCCAACATGTCACAGAGAAAGGAATCGGTATAGCTGTACTCGCCGCAGGTATGATATTTCTCATAAGTCTCCTTCGTGGTGATATTGACGGTTTTACTAGTCAACCCAAGCCTGAGTTCAAGGCGGTAACTGATAGCGCTTGTATCAACTAGACTCTCTTGAGTGACAACAATAGCAGATGTGAACTCTGGAAAGGTGTGATCTGGTCAGTGTTCCTTGAACTCCATGTTAAGGCCCTACGGCCTTCAATGGAGTGCACACCAAAGTCTTGTCGGTAGCCGGTACATGCTCAGGGCCTTCGGCTCTTTGATTGGCGCCCGCCAACACGACGGTCAAGTTCACTCATCCTTATATACTCTGACCAAACTAACATGGCCAACTGCATGATTCGAACTCGACTCTGGAAAACCCCCGCGCAGTGTCGATTGACCTAATTCCTTGCAAGTGAGACGATGCGCTCACTTTTGACACGCATCATACATTCCTTCCTCGGAGACTCACATTTACCGGATCGGAGGTCTCCAATTGATGTCACATTAGCTCCGGTCAAGTATCGACTGGCGTGCGATGCGATAGACTGGGTTTTTTATAGCGAGGATCCATACTTTAAAGTTTACATTTTCGAGGGCGATGCTTCGACTAATTTTGCGTATCTCGACACCTCTTTGGCTCTTTTCGCGACAGCTAATCGCGTTTACCACTACACTGTCTATCCCGAACTTGGTGTGTCTTTCCGAATACAACCGACCTGCACCTCCCTGATAATCTGTGGTGACTTGAACAGTTAATTCTACAACAGATTACTACCTTCTTGTTCTAGGAACTTCGTTTAAAGCGAATACGTGTCAGTCCCATATCGCCGTGATACACTGCCCCAAATTCAACTGCTTTTCTCTGATAGGGATAAAGTTTAATCCTCGACCTACTGATCAATGTGAGGATCCGGAAATGTT